AATGATTGGTTCCATCGTATGGAAAAATGTGTCAAATTTCGCGGAGAATACTTCGAAAAGCAATAAATACATTTTTAAATAGTAATGTTGTGTCACTTCCTTGATTCCCGAAATTTTCAGTGCCGCCCTCGTATTCACAAAAACAATAGTAGCAAGTTTTAAAAAAAGTAGTAACAAGTTTTAATACAAAAGTTATGTACCCTCTGTAAACACCCAGTCGTATATCATTCACGGGGCAATGTAAGGGAAGGCAGAGGATTTTTTCCAAACTAGCTACAGAAGTTTAAAAAAATCATTTTAATAAAAATTAGTAATAATCTATATTTAATAACAAATTATACTATTCCTTTCTATTCCGGTTTAGCCAACCCAATACAGCTGTGCAGCCATTATTATGCAGCGCGACTTTTGCACGTCAATTAATAAAACAATTTGAGAATAAAACTATTTTAGTATTTCTATATAACAGACAATATTAAAATATCCCCACATACACTGAAAGCCACTGCTAAAATATCTAAATGGAGACGTTTGGTACGCTACGGTTCAAATTTTTCACTTCACTTTGATTAAAAGTGCACTTCAGGGTGGTATTTGGCCATGTGGTAGTTTAAACTCGATTTTTGAACAAACGCTTGGTCGCACACTGTACAGACCTTCCTTCTGTCACCCGTGTGAATCCTCTCGTGCAGTTTCAGATTTGATCTTCTCAAAAACGACTTATTGCAGAAACTGCAATGGTAATCCTTCACAGTCTTGTGCTTGAACTTGTGTTTCCTCAAGTTTTCTAAATTGAATGTCTCATAATCACATAGCTTGCATTTGTGTTTTACGCCGAGCATATGGAAATTGTTTATATGCCTTCGCAGTTCAAGCTTCGAGTTGAACATTATGTCCTTACAAGCATTACATTTGAAACGATCGTCAATATTGTGCGCTTCCAATTTGTGGACGGTAAACGGTACGAGAGTCTTAAACCCCTTGTTGCACAATTCGCACGAGTACTTTGGTATTTTGTAGTGTTTGTACTTCAAATGGATGCGTAATGAGTCTAACTTTTTGTAAACCTTATCACAGAAGCTGCAGATATATCTGTCTCCCACCTTCTTATAGTCGCGTGATAGCAGGTGAAACTTTATCACGCGCTGACCGCCTAGAAGACAAAAGAAACAGTATTTTTTAAATATCATTCCAGCCTTCCATCTTGATGTGTCACTAGTATCTCTAATTTCATTTATTTGTTCATCACCATTGGTAACAGATTAAGCAGTCTTTTATATGGCAGGGCTTGTTCTCTAGATTTTGTAATATAGTGTATTACGATCGTAGCGTCGAAATGTATAAAAGTTGATAGTCAAGCACAGGTATTCAGAGACAATCTCGAGTTTATACTCTAACTCGACACAGTCAAAATTTAAGTCTTTAGAATAGAATAGATTATTATATTTTTTAAACAATTTCTTTGAAGTTGATCAGTTTACCCTTTAAGAATTATTAACAAAAATAGAAGCCGCCAACTTTTCCCCTGCGCAACATACTTGTCGCACATCACAAAGCGCGGAATGAATAATGTAATATAAGTCATACTCTTACTTAATCCGAGATATATTTTCTTTGCAGTTGTACAATCTTCGGGTTGTGTTAACACGATTATTAAAAAGCAAAATAAAAAACTGCCAACTCTCAATCTCGTCAATCATTCACATTTTTCGCGCCTGTGTGTAGCAAGTGTACGACGCCATAAATATCAAACACTATTATCTAATTTAGAAAAAAGTGCAAAAATATGTTTAAAAGAAAGCGGGACAGAGGTTCTGAAGAAAACAATCCAACGAAAAGTTAAAAAAATTGCAAAAGAAATTGGAAAGACGACATAGAGAAAAATCAAAAACACCGGATATTTTATCGGAACCTAATAGTGATATCGAAATTCAGGAACAGGAATTAATAAAAAAAGAGCAAAGTAAAAAAAAAACAGGTTTTTGCGAGGTGATTACTTTTTATTTAAAGAAAAAAGAGACTGCTCTAAACGCCTTTTTTAACAAAAAACATATTCCGCCGCGGACTTGGTTTCTGTGACCAACTTCACTACAGTAAGTACACGTAGGTTTTTTATGTGTTTTGACCTCGAGACCGCATATTAAGTGTTGGCAGGACTTGCTAAACTTTTTTCAAAGGATCTTGTGATAACCTCTGGTCAGGTTTAGAGCAAAGTAAAAACAGGCGGTAGATGTTAAAAATCAAAGCTGAACGTATTAAAATATTTTTAGTCTCAAAGTTTAATAGAAAAGCTCATAATATACATAATAACTCTGAAACCAAAAACCTCCATAAGGTAACTTCTCCCGTGGAACGTTACATTTGTTTTTATAGGTTTATAATGTTCGGCTGTGATCAAAATATCATACGATTTTAGAAGAGCCTAATTCAGATACGAAGAATAAAAGAGACGTATCGGAATTCATGAATGAAAACTACTGTGACGTAGAAGTTCCAGTGGATCATGTCATTGAAAGCGAGTGTCAGTCCGACTCAAAAAGAGAAGGTTGCGAGTCGGAGAATCGATATGAAGAAAAAAGCGACAGGTCACCGCCAATAGAAGATTCATCATTTGAACATTATGTTCAGCTATCAAGGTATAAAAATTATTCTGGTAAGAATAGATTTCTTTGGTATGCTCATCCTCCAGTGTCAAGGTCAAGAACGTCTTAAACGTGTCTTCAGGCATATTTTACATTGAAATACAAAACCTCTGGATTTGTGGACCATGTTTTTAGAGATGATATGATAGAAGAAATAGTGAAGCATACAAATGAAAAAATCCGAAAAGTCGAACCAAACTATAAAAATGAAATTACGTGTTCAATATCTAGATGTAACTGAAATTAAATCTTTTATTGGTGTGCTGTACTGTTCTGCAATTTTTCAAAGAAAACCATAATGTACACTACTCAAGTTGGCACAGTACAGACGTTTATCAAGTTCAAGTTGGTACAGTACACATGTTACGGGTAGCGAGACTCACCAAGTTGTTCGTCCTTCAGCAGAATGTTGCAGACCACAGACATATGCTGAGTGGACAAATGGAAACTAATGAGTTTCTGCTTGGGCGCTCTTGCAAAAGCATAAAATTTTAATGATTTCTTGTGTTTACGCGAACACTACACATTTAAATAAAACTAGTTTTTACTGATTTTATCGCGTATATTAACTTATTTTATATTACCGACGTTCATGGAGGACTTTGAAGAGAAAGCCCTTCTTAGTTCTCATATAAAGCCCAGATTCTACAAGCGGTACGTATACGATACTTTCACAGTTCTATCTTTAGAAAAATTAACTGCATTTTTAGACCATTTTAACTCCATAAATTCCAAAATTCAGGTTACAATGGATTTAGAGGCAAATAATTCTTTAAATTATTCTATAAAAATCAATATTTAAACGGTGTTTCTCAACACTATCCTTCTCAGTTAACTACCGTGGGAAAATCATTGTTACAGAGAGCACGAAGGCCCTGTGACAGTATGCATCTGGCCACCGAGCTCCAACAGGTCAAGCGAGTTTTGCTTTACGTGTTGTTGCGATGAAAGCAATACACAACCTTATTTTTACGTTATTGAAGACTTTTTCCTTTTGATATTTTACCGAATAAGCTTAGCTTTGGATTACATGATTGTACACTTGCCGTAGAGCCGTGGTAGCTCAGATGGTTAGCGCTCACAGTACTCGAGCATCCCGGGTTCGATTCCCGCTGGCACCAATCAAATTGTTAATTGCAATTTTAAGTGCTGATGTACCACGTGCTCGCCGGTGAAGGAAAACATCGTGAGGAAACCTGCATGTGTGAGAAATAAGAAAAAATATTTCGAAGACATGTGAAGTTCGCAAACACGCATTGGGGTAGCGCGGCGGTCACTTCCTTGCCCTAAAAACCCCCAGAGGCCTGTGTCCAGCAGTGGGACGTAAATGGGCTGCAACTTTTACACTTGCCGTGTATGTTAAAAAATTATTCCACTTTCAATCCTAATCGGCATTTTTATTTACCTAGGATGTTAGTGCTAGCACCTGAACTCGCATACGCGTCCAGGGCAGCGCATGTATATATTTCCAAAGACATCGCGCATTATTTCTTTGTATTGATCAAGGCGGTGAATGGTATCGAGTCGCGAAATACAATTAATGAGTCATAAATAGTAATTAGCGGTGTCAAATGTGTGTTACAACGGAAGCGGCAAGTTTAACGGCACGAAGCTGTCAACATTTCTGATCTTGTGGCAGCGGCATGCTTGTCGCAAAGTACCATTTGTATGATTGAATTATATTACTATTATTATAAATGTTACAAGGTTTTAGATTGTTGCCCATTTCAGGGGAAATTGTATTTACATAGGTAGGAATTCATAAATCGTAGCATTTTGTATTAATGATTTAAATGTTGCACACTTATATTCTATATACTTATTGGTATGTATTTGCGTATATGCGTATTTTGTATCGGACAGGTTTATATACGCGTTGTAAGTATAAGTAATAATTTCTATTTAAAAGTAAGACTAATAAACCGACCCATATTCCATACTGATCGTAAGTTGATGCCAACAAATATCCACATCTAATGGAATGTCCGTTGTTTTTACTATAGTAAGCTAGTGCTTGATTACTATTTCACCTGATGGTAAGTGGTGATGAAGTCACAAAAGGGAAGCCGCACTGACTTATTTAAAGTAAGCCGCTTAATTCATGAGCGTGATGATGCGTGATATGTAGACGACGTTCATTGTGCTGCCATTCATGCTGGTATAGAAATGCGAGCCTAGTCCTAACCGATCGAGCTGTCCCATTTGTACTGTAACTGCTACAGCTGCGTGGATTTTCATCATCAAATAATAAAACAATTTTGCGAATAAAAATAAATAATTTTTATTTTTAGATAACAGATAATTTTAAAATATCGCAAAAAGGCATGCGGGAGTCTAAATTTTCTCACTTCGCAATGGTTAAAAATGTACTGCGGGATGTTGTTTGAGCATGTGATAGTTCAGACTCGCTTTCTGGACAAACGCCTGACCGCACACTTTACAGACCTTCTGCTTATCGCCCGTGTGGATCTTCTCGTGCAATCGACGGGTATTATGTCTTAAAAATGACTTTTTGCAAAACTTACAATGGTAATCCTTCACTGTCTTGTGCTTGTCCTTGTGTCTGAACAAGGTTGCGGAGTTGAATGTCTCAAAATCGCAAAGCTTGCATTTATACTTTACGCCCATCATGTGGAAACTGTTCATATGATGTGTCATTTGGCGCCTAGAGTTGAATATCAAGTCCTTACAAGCATTACATTTCAAACGATCGTCAATATCGTGTGCTTCCAATTTGTGGAGGTTAAACTGTACGAGAGACTTGTACCCTTTCTTGCACAATTCACACGAGTATTTTGGTATCTTGTAGTGTGTGTACATAACGTGGTATCGCAGCGTGTGTTTGCTTCTATAAATGTTATCACATTGGCTGCATATATATCGGTCACCTTCCTCCTTATAGTGGCACGATAACAAGCAAAACTTTACCACGCACTCTTTGCCTAGAAGACAGAAAAACATTTGTTTAGCAACAATTCAAATCTTCGCGCTTTGATGAGTCTTGAGGTTATAATTTCTTTTACATGTACTTCACCATTGGAAAGAGATTAAGCTAAGTCTTCAAAATTTTTGTAAAATCTGAATAAATATTGCGATCGCCGCTAACGTAAAATAAGTAAGTAAAGCTATTTATATAATTTTGTAATAATGCGCTAAATCAGTTCGTCTTAATTACTGACTCGCATACCTTTTACATAGCGCTTGACAAAAGAAGGTAGATACTCTTCAATTGATACGGACAAGTTACATCCTTAATATGTGGTAATCAAACAAAAGAGTGACTTTCAATAAGTATTATTTATAATCTATATTGAATAAAAAAGTTTCCGTTTCTGTTTCTGTTTCATCGTCGTAATTAAATTAAATCAAAGCTTATAACTTGGAGATTTAACATTTCCCATCATACATCCCGTCCATATTTGTATCTATCATACCCATCTTCAACTGTCATAATCTTGTATTGTTATATTTAGTTCTTTTCTTTTTTGTCTTTTACCAAAATGTTTCATTTATGTACACCTTCCCGTTCTTTGCGCACAAACGTTGTCTAGAAGAAATCGTTTCCAGGGCGATAAGACCGCCTACCTTCTATATAATTTATATATTTTTTTCAATGTGTATTGGTTCATAAAGAATATTGTGCGGGAGAAGTAAAAAACAGCGACTAGTGTACAGTGATAGTGATATACAGACACTGATAAGACAGTGCATAAGTAATCATAAACATTTGAACTTGTAGTGAATAGTGTTATAGTTTTAGTGTTTTTCGTTCTCATACTTGTATAGTATGAGAACGAAACACGTGTAGACTTAGTTTATAAGTAAATAAGTATTTATGTTACGTTTTTGTTAAATTTATAATTTATATAATAGTCCATGTTACATAGAACCTAAAACATATAGTTTTAACTACGTAAACAAAATAAAGGTTAGCCAAAAACGCAATTACGGCTCAGCAAAGTCACGATAATTGCACAACATCGCGGCTGGCTCTTCCCGCGCCAACCTTGCTCTGATTGCTCAATGCCTTTCCCGCTCTTTTGTACCGTATTGTGACTGGTCGAGTAGTTAGCCGAAATCGTATCAAAATAGGGCCATTTCTGCCATTCGACACAGTCGACGGCATAAAAAAATACTCAAATATAGAGGAAAGATGCACTTAATGGTTTTATTTCCCACCAACCCATCACACAAATGCGTCTGTAGGGCACAAACATATTGATACCAATTGATTAAAGCTAGAATATTACTAAAATATTTGAAAATAGTACTTTGTCTTATTATTTCAAATTCAAACATACGTGGCAATTCGCTCGCGGTAATGGTCGACGTAACATTTGCAGTGTGATTTGCTATAACCATAATATGAAAGTTTTAAGGCTACATAGTATTAAACTTTAAGACCCGTGTTCGGGGTTGTACTGACACTAAGGGGATGATAAACTGATAACACTTGATAAGTCTGATAAAATATATTTTGGATAAGTTACAAATCTTAAAGGCTAGAATTACAGATAATGAGTACGCGTAGCGCTCTTGATGGCTATATGCGAACTAGTTTTATAATAAAATTGCCACGGAAATATGTAAAAGAGGTCAAGTTGTGAAATGATGACTTGACAATTGTACGTTGCATTTCATGTTCGTACAACCCGATTTCACCAAACTATTCTTAATTTGCCATTAACAAATGATCTGTTAAGATTGACGTCGACGTCAAAAAGGTTTACCTTCTATAAAGGGATCTGAACGAGGCGTTGCTAAATCAAACATCAACTAGATATTATCTGTGATCAAGTGAACAAAATCGATCGGTCTGACACGGGTTTGACTCACTTTGTCATTCTTTAACACTTCACTCTCGTTATTATGCAGCCGACACAAAATGTCATGGTGCCTATACAAAACGTTCTGTAAACAGTGTAATTCTATATTAGTCGTTTTGAATGTCAAATATTTTCGGATTCGCGAATTGAAGATTTCGTTTTGTGGTAGTTTTTAATTCTTATAATTTGTAATTTAGAGTTAAATTGTGTTTTAAAATGTCGAAGAAAATCGAAGACCTAATTTCTGTGCGAGTGAAAAAGAAATTTTAATAGGACTCATTGTAAACTATAAAAATATAATAGAAAACAAAAAACAGATGCAGTGACGATTGCTTGTAAAAATGAAGGTTGGAAGGTGCTCACGGAAGAGTTCAACTCCCTGAGCAGTTTTAATTTCCGAAATACCGACCAACTTAGGACTCGTTGAGATAACTATAAAAGAAAACAAGGATAGACAAAGCTGCGACTAAGAAGATTTTCTTAACAGGTATGATCTATTTGTAACTTAATAATACGTTATATTTTCAAAAATTCTATCACAGTAATAATTTATGACCTTTATTTCGAATACCTAACTATTCTCACTGTATAAACTCTCACCAATATTCATTCAGTGGTTTCCTAGTCTGCGAACAGACATAAGTGATTGTAGTGATGCCTAGCTACTACTTACGCTCCTTTTTAGTGTTAACACTGTTTCATAATTTATATTTTGCTATTTCCAGGTGGAGGCAGGTCCAATCATCCACCACCAGGGCCTTTTCAAGGACAAGTAGAAATATTACTTGGCCATACATTAGATGGTCTTCCAAACGAATTTGATAGTGATGGTCAAGACTTAGATACACCGTCTAATAAAGTAAAGGAAGATGCAGAAATATTACCGACCATTGTGTTATTAGATGCAGTACCTGGCTGTTCAACTGTGGTAATTATAAACATACTAGCCCGGTCTCTATGTCTTTAATTTATGTATAATAGTGTATATTTCAACACAAAATATGTACATAAAATCCCCTTAGACACCACTAAGTAGTCACAATCTTAAATTAACTTATTATAGCAACTTTACATGGATGAATTTAACTAGCTACTTAACAACTAAAACAAATTTAAAGTACATTTTCAGATTAGTTCAAACAGTTTGTTTTATGATACAATATATAAATGTAACTGAATATAGATAGATTTTATTTTTAATATTTATTTTATTTCAAATTGACCAAGCCGATTCCTCGGGACTGAATGGCTCCCTGACTGAATCAGAGGATTTAAATTACGAAGAAATTGATAGCACAAGTCATTGTGTGAAGTTCAGGTACCAATCTCGTCACAAATATACTCTTTCATCGCCAACTGTTATTGGTACAGCATTGTGCAATGCCATTTCAAACTGCTCACGTGGATTTTATCACATGAGTGTGAAGTTTGGACTGAATATAATAAACCTACTTTTTGTTTTAATATAAGGATAATATTTGGCATGGTTGGTCTCCAGCTACACTAAAAACAAAAATGTCAGATGCACTGGTAACAAAAGAAAAGGGGGAGCCCGACATGGCTTCACAGGAGAAGACCAAGGGCTTCAATGGCTGATAATTTACTAGCTAGCAAGATGGAGTTAGTAGAAATTTTGAAAAAAAATATAGATATTGCATGCCATTGAGATGTGAATATCAATTTTTAAAATTTTGTCTTACTTTTCTTGTGTATTTTTGTTTGAAAAAAGAAAAAAATGTAGTATCATTTTTGATTAAATGGCTTTAGAAACGGGATTGACAAAAAAAATTTCTGACCATGCTCTAGTATTTATCATTATTGAACTTGTATATAAGCGGCAACAACCGATTGCCTTTTACTTTTGTAAAGGATAAACATCCAGCATTGAAGTGAAAAATATCTTAAGAGAAATTATCGTGGCGATTGTTGAGACAGGACTGCGGAATTCCACTAGCAGTAATCTCAGATCAAGGGGCTACATTCCGATCAGCTCTCAAACTGCTGCAAGACGGCTGACTGACTGACGGCTCCGTGGCGCAGTGGCTTAGCAATGAGTTGCAACGCTGGGAGCCGCGGGTTCGAATTCCGCACGGAACTAGTATTTGCATGATCTACAAATAATAGTTCCGGGTCTGGATTTTTGTCCTTGTGCAAGTTATATTTGTAAACTGCTTCTACGATACAGGAGAAAATCCTAGTGTGGAGGTAACGTTTTTAAAAAAAATGAAAAGAAAAAAAAACGAATGCAAGAAGAAACTAGTGGTGTTCAAATAAGATTGATTTAATAGATTTTATAGATTGATTGATACATATAAGTGGTTTTAATACGCTTGTCATATTTGATCCAGCACATTTAATCAAAGGAATGCGAAACAAGGAAACATTTTTACATGGACAGATATTGTAGATGTGTATTAGACAGACTGTGAACATGCCGAAACACGATTATTACAAAAACTTACGAACATTTTAATCCTGAAAAAAATTAAAGAAATGAAGGTATGTAATAATTGTTATTTTATTCCAATCACACGTAATTAAATGTTTGTATATATACTAACACGTGTTCCCTAATCAAATTCTTACGGATTATTTGCAGGTTAAGAAAATTGGTCGTGTATTTAGTAAAACTGTGGCAGAAGCCTTAAATTGTACCTCTGCATTTTGTAAGTTATTATATTAATTATTTTAATAAATATATTATATACATAGCACCATAAAACTATTTTATATGGTGAATAGTGAGAACCAGAGATCCTTTTTACTTGTAACAAGCCATTCATTTGTCTTCAACGGCGACAATGCATTTACATTTTTATTCCTATACGTTAATATATGTGTCTGAGGGGCACACCATTCACTTACTATCAGGTGAAAGGGTTGTGTAATTTTATAAAAGGAAATAACACCGACTTCTGTAATTTAAAAATACTGTACAGAATACTTAAATATATTTCATTTACTAATATTACAAACATTTATTACAGCTCATTTTTCAGATGGGCAGCCAGTGAGCAAAACACTGAAAAATACTGCAGATATCATGCAGTATCTTTTGTGGATGGCCAATTTGTCAGTACGATTAATAGTGCAATAATTAATAAAAAAAATAAGGGGGAAAGATTTGTACAACTC